GGCACATTTTACACTGTAACCTAGGACAGAACGACATAAGGATTTGTTGGCATTTGGAGAGGGAATTGATTGTGTTGTAGGTGTTTGGAACTCCACATGTGCCTGGACCTTTTTCCTTTAAATCGTGTATAACAACATAAGCGTACTTGGTAGAAAGGCTTTGTTTCAGAACTCAGAGACAATGATAGATTTATTATTAAATTTAATAGCATTTTTTAGATGCTGAATTAAACCAGCACTACTATAGGTCCTCCGTGCCATTTTGTCTTGCAGTAACATCAGTTAGCATTTGGGCTCTTACTGTGGTAAATCTATTGCACATACAGAGGAAAAAGCTCTTCCCCAGAGGAAGAGATTTCCCTGCTTACAGAGGAATCCAACCGTTGCTTGAAAAAGAAGCTGGCTTTTTTTATTTCTGTTTATGCCTTCTACTCGTGTTACATGTGCACTACAGATTGCCTTATCTTAACTGTCTGAAAACTTTTTCTGTCAGTGAAAGTAACAGGTTTTTCTTTTATACGTTAGAAAATGAATTCTGCTTTTTATCTGAAAGGAACACTTTCTTTATGTGATCATAAGGAAGTTCCTAAAACCTACTTAGCAGAATTTCTTGGGAGGAGATCAGGGGAGTCTGTATTCTTTAGTTAATCATAATCTCTGCTAAACCTGTCATTGATGTTTCTAGTTGTGGAATTTCCAGCTGTCTGTCTGTAACTGGACTGCTACTGTGTCTGTTTCTCTTGGATCACGATATACCTGAGATTCATCGTGGTTTTGATCTGTGTTTACCTTTTTAAATGTAGATCGTGACCGGAAAAATTGCAGTTTGCTATTTGTCCCTCTGCCTTATCATTCTCTGGCACTACTTATTTTATCCCTATTTTTTTCATTAGGTGCTGCACCTAAAACAGCAGTGTGTTGTCAGTTTAGCAGGAGAAGGTGTTAATTTATGTCGTCATGGAAAACTCTCATGGCTTGAGGTAAGAGTCAGATATTTCCCAAAATGTGCCACTGAACGGAGGCATAACTGCAAAGCATTTGGGGATTAGCCTGTGTTTGACTCGCATAACTGTTTTGGTAAGGGATATGATATTCTTCAAGACAGATCAGGTATTTCATAAAAAGACCTGTTATGGAAAAAATTATGCCATTATAAGGCAATGTGACAATTACTAAACTTGTATGTAGTATATGCATTTGTATATAACAATGTAGTATATTTGGTTTGCCATCTTCATATACTTGTATACAGGTAGAGGAAAAACTGCAAGACCTAATCAATGCCAATATAATTGGAGGAGTAAAATCCATCTGAATATGATACAGTAGCTTAATTAGCTGTGATATTATCAACATCTGAAAAGGAAGGGAGAGAAATGAAAACAGCTTAATATGTTAGCTCAAAATTGTCTTAGTTTATTTTTAAATAGGTTTAAAACTGAGTATGTTTATCCCAAGCAAAAACTTGTGTGGGAGTTCATGCTTCAAACTTAACGCATTTATGCAGAAGTAAATGTCCACAAAATGTTTGCTTTAGTATGGCTAAATTGCTTTCAAATAACAGCTTTTGTTAAACCATTATGAATTTGAACATAGGCAAAACCTAAATTTTATATCCTGTTCAAAATGCTAGGATGGAAAATTATGTCCTTTATTTCTTTGGTAGTGGTCTTTGACAATGAAAGGAATGTCATGGGCACATGAATTTTGTTGGAAGTGGTTCTTTAAAAATGTCACCAAAATAGGTGTAGGAAATTATTTTAAGTGCAGTGCATAGGGTTTGCTCTTGATATGTCTCAAAATGTTGTATTTAAACTGTGTATAGTAGACTACTGGGTCGTTCTTTCTGATTATTGTGAGAGTCTCTGAGCATCTCGAAAAAAACAAGACTTGTTTACGAATTAGCATTAAGGAAACTGAACGTACTCTCCCCAACATAAGCCTGTACGTAGGAGTTTATGGCTTGTGGGCAACAGTGCACTCTCACCTACTTTCAAATCCTTTGTTCTTCTGTCCTTCACTCATTTTCTCTGCAACTGAATTTGTTGTAGATAGCAACAAAGAGCTGAATTTTTCTATTTGATATCTTCCTTCTGGGACCTCAGGCTTTCAAAAATGCATTACAAATGGTGCTGGAAGATAAAAACATCTTGAAGGTAAGGGTACAGGGTGTGTGAGGACATCTGTGGTGGCAGAGGTCATATACACATGTAATGATCTACCTGCACCAAAAAAGTTGCAGCGGGACACAAGATTGGCTGACAGCTCTTTCTTGCTTCAGGTCATGCATGACTGCCGCTGGAACTCAGACTGCCCCTTTCACCAGTACAGTGTCCTTCTCTTCAGTGTCTTTGATACGCAGGTACCCTTCAAATATTCTGGTTGGGAACAAAAGAGAAAGTTCAGCCTTATTCAGGGCATTCTCTCAGACAAGGTTTAACATTACTAGAACGTGACACTTACTGAACCATGTAAATGTAGTGGTTTTGTTCTAGCTAAAAAGAAACAGCAGGCAAGGCTGATTAGTGTTACTTAGAGTCTTGTGTAGACCCATTTTAAAAGGTAGTTAATATCTAATATTAGCAGCAAGGTTAATGTGGGAGGGGTTTTTTAAGATGTATTTACTGGTCTTGATCAAACTTTGCACAACCTGAGGCTACTGTGACTTAAACAGGAGCCAGGTTGGCTTGTGCTTTATATTCTTTGTTATTCTTTCTGCCCCTTTAACAAGTGTAGAAACAGATTCAGGCTACAGGTATCCAGCACTGGGAAGCACCTACTAATAAAAGTAGTGGTAGAAGCGAGAGAACAAGCCAGGTTACCATAAAAATCTGTTTCTGTTGGTGCTGGCCCTAGTAGTTGTGGTAGTTAAAGTTGTGTGACTAATGGGAGAATTAGAGCCTTTCAAGAGAGAAGAAAATAACATGATGGCTATGATCTTTGGATAACATATCCATGCCCATTATGATACTTATGTATGACTTGTCCTTGCCAATATTCTGACTTTTCACGTCATAGATATGACTGCCTGTAGTAACTCATCAAAACCCTAATCTGGGCTGTGTCATAAACTTTAAACTCTCAGTCCCTTTCTCATTTTGTTTGTCCCTTCGCCCCTAAAAATTATGTTACTCCATTACAGGTCAAATATCAGTATCAGTGTTAAGGCTTGACTGCATGAAAAAGGTAGGGGTGAAAATTCCCACCAGTACTCCCAACTGTACTGGCTAGAATATGTAAGTGATACAGTGGAAATAACTAACTAGAACTATCCACCCTAGGGTCTGAGGTACACAGAATTGCACTCATTGTTCTATAGTCTTGATATGAGCTGACATGCTTGCTTCTCTTGCACTGATAGATCTCTAGGCTTAGATTCAATTACTCTGATTCCTTGGCCTGAATCCCGCTTCTAACATAAGTAGGCTAGTGAAGTAGTCTGGTTTTGGCTACTTGGCAGTGTACCTGATATTGTGGAATTAAGCTGTCTTGTCTTCCGCTCAGTACTGCTGAAGCAAACAACTGGGAGATACCTCTAAGCAAACTCTCATAGAAGCATTTTGTGAAGCATTTCTCAGAGACAGCTTCCCAGTGTTGTTAAAATTGGAACAGGCTGTGTGCACAAGTGAGGCTCTGCTTAAAAAACGCAGGAATGGAATGAAGAACTCTGGTTTAGATGGGATCTTGCCTGCATAATTTGAAAAGTGATTTTTATACCTGCTTTTGACCAGTTGTTGCAACTGTTTATTACTTGCAATAAGTAACCTGATATAATTAAGACAACATGTAGAGGGTGGTAGTGAAAGGTTTCTGATGTTCACTGTCTTCTCCATTGATGTTCTTCTAGTTCTTAAGCATCACCTGTGGAAGTAACTTTTAATGATAATGTTTGCAGAAGTCCGATACTGCTATTTCACATTTGACTGCCTTGGTGGGGGTCTTTGTGTCCCTGTTGGGCTATAGCAGCCTAAACAGCTGCATAGTGAGCGGGCAACTGGCTGTTGTCCATGCTTACATCCCTTACATTGCCTTCTGGGACACTTCTATGCTGCATCATGAGGCTAGAGCATTCTCACACTCTGAAGTCCCTGCCTGTTGTAAAATGTTGTTGGTTGCATATCTGTGTGCTACCAAAAGATATAATACAGTTCTTTCTAGAGGTGTGTGCTGAAAGAATAAAGGAAATTTGGCAGCTTGAGACTTTCTGTAAGCCAGAGGTCTGTGCAAGGTTTAATCATAGAATGTACAAGTGAAGAAGTCACTGTTACTGCCTGGTTCTGCAGATCAGTGCACATACACTACTCTTTAGTGTGTTGTAGTTTTTCTGCCCTTGAATCCAAGCATGTGATGACTTTGGACAAAGATTTTCACAGTGAAAGCTAAAACATTGTTTTCATTGTGGGCAAGTTTATTCTATAACCTTGTTCATTCAGGTTAGGCTTTTTATGAATATTGATCACAAAGATGCTTTCATTTTTGTTTAAATATTTAAGTCTCTTCTCTCCTTGATTGGAAAGCATTGAAATTTTTTAACTAGAAACTCTCTCTGTAACCATGTGGAAGACTGGAATATATTTCCATAGATTTGAACATCATCTTTGTTTTGACTTTGAGTGAAAGTAACTGATTGCTTGAGAAGGTCTTTCCTGAGGATCCTTTTCATCTGTGTTTGGCCACTGAGAGTGAACAGGCAGAGAAAGTTTTAGTGATCAGAACTACAATACAAAGGACATGATGGAAACTTCTTTACGTGGCGATTTGGGCTTATAATTACGTGAAGGTCAGCTTTACCTGCATCTTCACCATTTTCTTCTCTTCACTGAACTCAGCAGTTTGAATTGTTGCAGTTCCTTTCTCCAGGTATGTTTCCTGGCACTTTTCAGCTGGCGATTGTAGACTTTTTTGGACTGCACCAATGTAGTCAGCCTAACAAAAGTATAGGCACTTCTAAATTCTTTGTCCTACCACAAAGCATAGAAGGTCTGACATTTCTTTCCTTAGTCCAAGATTGCTTGTTCTACTTGTGGTGCTCTAATGTTTTGCATTTTCTTCGTAATACCTTCATACAATCTTTTATTCCTTGGAAATTCAGTAAATGGATTGGCTTAGCACTTTCTTCTAGTAGGCTTAGCAAATGAGACAGCTTTAGTCATTAATAAATCCTGCCAGCTTGTTTGCCTTTGCTGTTGGACAGGAAGAGATTTATTTTTTTTTCCCCAAAGACTTAATAGATAAGTTAGGAATGGGGTTTGGTCTTGGAATTTACCCTCACTATAAGAGGTGAGAAGAGGTCAATTACAATTCTGTGGTCACTGTTGCAGGGGCTGAGCTGGTGCTGCCAAGCACTATGTGGTCTGGTCTAGGTAGCACATGAGCAGGGTGTGGTAGAACAGCTGGAACAGTGACTTCAGATGTAACCCTTGCAGTAGAACGGGGCTGGCCTGTAAGCTCGTGGTTTTGTTGGTGGGATTGTGAATGCTTCTTTTGAGTTGGCTCAAGATTTCCCAGGAGAGTGTAGTAAGGAGAAAAGGGCTATGCGAGGTCAGTGGGGATTTCAGGGGACCAGCATGGAATCTGGGCCTTTGAGTAGCAGCGGAAGTCTGAAGAGTAGGTTGTAATGACAGATAGCTCAGTCTCAGATTTTGAGTGTGCACGCAGGCTTATAAAAATGCATTTTCCCTTTCCATTTCCCCGGTGAGTGGACTGTCTTCCAGGCTTCCCTTTTCCATTTCCATTGTCTTCTCTCTGCACCTGTTGAAATAGTCCCACTCATCTTTGTGTTCCCTGGTTAGGGACAAGTTAAGGCTGTTCCTGCTCTTCCTGCAAAAGGGTGGAAGGGATGAAACCAAGATGAAAAACAAGCAAGCACCATGCCATGCAGTCACTGCTGGAGGCTGTTGACTGCTTCCGTTCTGGCTGTGTGTGCTGTCAAAGATGGGTCTTACTGACAAAATCAGGTTTTAGGCTAAAGATTTTTGACAACTTACATATTCTTTCATCATGTTTTCCTTACATTGCATCACAATTTCAGGTTTTAGATAAAAGGCAAAACTGTTAAGTATCCTGGGGAAGTATCACTCTGTTTATTTCTTCTGATACTGCTCCTAACCACCTGCTGTCTGGAAACAAGAGTACTGGGCTAGAAGAAGCCTTAGGCTAATACAACGTATGTAAGTTATTCTTAAAACTCAGTTTGCCCTTTTATGTAACTTAACAGCTTTAAGGAGTCAGATTACTAGCTCTGCAACTGCATGCAGTCAAAATGAGGATTAATTTGTTTGTAGCCTACTTTACTTCTAATATGCATCCTCACTGTCAAACCTCCACATTCTTTGCCTTGGGTTAACGAACACTAGTCATGGCATATTGATCCCTTCCATCATAGGTTGCTGATGCTCTGCAGTTCTCAATGGCAACAGGAGGCTTCCTTCCGCACCACGTCCGCATGTTACAGGAGTGTTTGATGCAGCACTCGAAGATACCTTCCAAATGGGATGCCGTGATGAAGTGCAGGCAGCAGATGGCTTCAGTGAGTGATTCAGTGAAGCACTTTCTGAAAACTCAATTGTGAGCTGTGCTTTGTCCATCTGAGAGGTTTCTATCAGTTTTTTTTTTAAGAGAATGACACTATGCAGTGGTCAAGTTGCGGTAGTTGAGGACATTTTGTAACACTGACTTGGGAGACAGATGGAAGCTTTAGTTGGCGTCAGTGCTTATGCTGGTATTTCCTAATAGCTTGTTTGAAATTGAGGTTTTGAAGAACCACAAAGCTTGTGTAATAGAGGATATATATAACTTGGGTAAAAAATGTTCCGGATATCTCAAGATATTTGACTGACTCTGAAACCTAGTTCCAACAGAACAAGTTGGTTAAAATGAATCCTGAGTCAAGTAAGGAAAGAGGAAACTTTTATTGCCAGTTCTATTAGAATGAAAAAGTGAGAGTAACGATTTTTTTCTTGCTTGTGCAGTTCGGCAGCATTTGCCAAATCATTATTCTCTATTGTCCTTGGTTTTGTTAATCTTTCAGATAGGGACAAGCAAAGGAAAAATTAATGGGCCAGGAGCTCCTAAGATAGAAAATCTCCCTGGTGCAGCTTTGAACCATTCCCATGCATCCTGTCACTGGATCCCAAGGAGAAGAGCTCAGCACCTCCCTCTCCCTGTCTCCTCCTCAGGAAGCTGCAGAGAGCAATGAGGTTGCCCTTCAGCCTCCTTTACTCCAAACTAGACAAGCCCGAAGTCCTCAGCTGCTCCTCACAGGACATTCCTTCCAGCCCTTTCACCAGCTTTGTGCTCTCCTCTGGATGCAGTCAAGGACCTTCACATCCTTCTTAAATTGTGGGGGCCAGAACTACACACAGTGCTCAAGGTGAGGCTGCACCAACGCTGGATACAGCGGGATAATCACCTCTCGGCTGGCTGTTTGTCCTGTGTTTGATGCACCCCAGGATGGGGTTTGCCCTCTTGCCTGCCAGGGCACACTGCTGACTCCTACTGAGCCTGCTGCTGACCAGTCCCCCAGATCCTTTGCTGCAGGGCTGTTCTCCAGCTGCTCCTCTCCCAGTTTATACTTATGCTTGGCACTGCTCCACCCTAGGTGCGGAATCTGGCATTTCACCTTGTTAAATTTCATCCCATTAATCACAGCCCAATGCTCCAATCTGTCAAGATCCCTCTGCAAGGCCTCTTGTCCATCAAGAGAGTCAACAGGACCTCCCAGTTTGGTATCATCAGCAAACTTGCCAATGGTGCGTTCAAGTCCTGCATCCAGATCGTTGATAAATGTATTGAAGAGCACTGGCCCTAGGACTGAGCCCTGAGGAACACCACTGGTGACCAGTCACCAGCCCAATTGAGCCCCGTTCACTACAACCCTTTCACCTCTGTCCTTCAGCCAGTTCTTCACCCAGGGCACTGTGAACCCACCCATACTATGGCTGGACAACTGGTCCAGAAGGATGCTGTGAGGGACGGTATCAAAAGCCTTACTAAAATCCAGGAAAACTGCATCTACCACCCTCCCTTCATCCACTAGGTGGGTGACCTTATCATAAAAGTCTATCTAATTAGTTAAACAAATAGTATATAAATATGCTAGTGCCAGTTGTGGCATCTTTTTGCTGGTTTTTTAATCACCTGACCTTGCTTTTTTGGGGCAGGGTGGGGGGAAGACTTCCAAAGAAACTGTTAAATATGGGAACTAGATACTTAATGAGACCTCACTATATAGGCAGGATTTCTTTACTGAATAGGAACAGCCTCTTTCCTACCAGAGTGATTTTTTTCCCTTCATACTGATCTTGTAACTTCCTGAGTACATCTGTATGTTTTTGCACTGCCTGTTTGCACACTTAAAATCTTTCTCAAAAACCTGGATTGAATGTTACTTGATATTTCTGTAATAGCTACTCAGTGAAGCCTCTAATTTGAACACAGCTTTATTTTTTACTGTAAGTTTTGGAATTCTAATAAGTGTCTCTCAAAATTTAAATTTAGAGAATTCTCTGGTGGATCTAAGCCAAATGACAATACACCTGCCTTAGTTTACCAGACCAAATCCTCATATTGGTCTGAAGACTAAAAGTTGACAATGTGTAATATGTATGTAGTAAGTATACCAGTGTAAGCCACAGTGTAGTGACAGTGTTGCTCAGGGTATCATGGTCATGCTGCTTAACTGGGGTTTATGTTCATGTTCTTCTGGTTCCAGTTGTGATGGCTGAAGATGTTACTATCCTCAGCTGCTTCCCTGGCTCCCTTGATGGGAGGATTTTTTTTCCCTTTACATCTTTCAGCTCAGCCTTTAAGAATGCAACCTAGCTTCAGAGATGGGTCAGAGAGAACCTAGCATTAAATGCTGGAATAGCTGTGTATTGGTTTTTGGTTTGTTTGGGTTGTTTGTTTTTTTTTTTTTTTGAAGAAGCAATCTCTCCTCCCAAACTCCCTCTTCTCTAACATCTACAGGCTTGTACACAGATGGCCTTAGAAGCTGCATGCATTCAGTGGCACTGAAAATAGAGATCATCATTGGGAGATAAGTTGTGAATGTCAGAAGAATGTGATTAAAAGCTTTTGATAAAATTTTTGCTACTTAAATAACTGTTTTCATTTGCATTGAGATACACAGGAGAATCCTGACATATGGTTCTTGAGACCCTTCCCAGCTTCTCTGCTTAAAGCACTGGCTCTGAAGGCAGTGTACCTTCTGCTGCTCTGCTCATCTCTAATGGATAACTTGATTCTGACCTAACAGCTGTAATACATGGTTATTTAAGTGCTTATCGGACCAGGTCTGGAGATCGCCTTGGAAGCACAAAGGTAGGTATGCCTTTGCTTGTTTCTCTGATTAGTGATTAGATCTAAGGCTCTGATGGATAAACTCTGGAGGACCTAGCTACAGCAGCTTCCTTTTCTGCACCTGTACACCCTACTTTGTGCTACATACCTTGTTACCTGTGTGTAGGGGCAGAAGCGATGGTTTCTGTATCTTCCTAGCTGCATTTCATGTTAATCCATTAGCAGCAATCCAGCTCAAGTTAGTATTGCGGATGGTGAGCTGCAGCTGTTAAGGCATGGGCACAGGCACAGGCACATGTGCCTTCTGTTCACTCTCGTCTGAGAATGAGAACCTCTGGGCTCCATAGCAGCTGTGTATGTGTGAGGGCATGAAGAGGGACAGGCAGTTGTGAAGTTGCCAGAGTTGTTTTGTTTTGTTAAGAGCATTTGGTCCCCAAATACTGTTCTGGTTTTCTTATATTCTGTCATCTTTACTGATGAGCTGTTTTGCATATACTGGCTGTTTCTGAGTAATATCGTCTCTTGTTGGCCAAAGATTTTTTTTTCTGTAAAAGCATCTTTGAGTTATCTTGTCTTCCTAATTTATTCTCGCCTGTGTTATCTTAAAAAAAAAAAAATTCCAGTCAAGTAACACTTTTCCTTTTATGTTACGTAGAACCATCAGTATTGCATGCCCAGATACTTTGGTGTGGCTCTTGAATGGTGGACACTTCTGTAATTGCTTGTTATTTTTTAAAGCAGGGGAGGAAATGAGGTTTTTGGTTAAGGAGCGTGCTTCCTGCACTAATAGAAAGAACAGGTCCATGTAAACCAAACAAGCAGTGGTATTGGTGTGGTCTTCTCCATGAAGTAATCTTAGGAAGGCTTGCTTGCAACAACTATGTAAGGTATTAGTGGTATTAAATTTGTGTTAAAAATTAATGGTCAAACATCCTCATTTATCACAAAGAGACTGAACTTAACATGATTAAATCCTGTTACTGACCCATTCTTGCAGTTGTAAATGTCTTGAAGTATTTATTAGGAAGAGAGAATGCAAGTCTATCTTCATGCAAGAAATTGTCATCTTTGCCCTGGTTTAACAAAGCACTCAAGCACAGACTTGAATCCTTTGGGAATTACTTATGGGCTCAGAGCAGTAAATCCCACTATTGAGGATTTAGGAGGAGATTAGTTTAGATAACCACAAGAGGTCATAGTTGCTTCAGAGATGGAAGAGAAGAGGTCATATCTGAAAACCTTTTCTTTTTAGAGGACAGATGCCAAAAAAACAAGGTTGTTCATAGTTCATGGAAAAAATTAGCTTGCCATCTGAATTTCCAGTGTGAAATGCATGCAAAAGTAGGCATGACACAAGAGAAAAGAACAGTGTTAAAGGGAAAAGAGTACAAATTGATAAACATTGGGTTGGTTGTAGAATTTTAAGTGGTACTCAGGTTGCTGAAGCCAATCCTTTTGTAAATCCATTTATTCCATAAGATGAGCCAAGGAATTAATCTGATCCTGAGCATTTCAAATGCCGTTTTGAAGATCTATTTAATATCACATCTGATAATCATACTTCCTGCAGTTGCTTTAGAAATCTTGTAGTATGGATAGTAAAAGTAGCCATTTTTACCATCATTTCACTCTTAATAATTTTCTGTTGTTTCTGTATCTTGCAAGAAGATCATACAAATGAAAGTTACTTCTACTTTATTTATAATATGCCTGCAATGCATATTTAAACTCCAAATATGGAGTTTGGTTTAGTTAAATCTGGTCTGTTACTTCAGTTTCTTCACTGAAAACAAAGTTAACTTTAAGGGAATCCTTTGCAAGTTGCTGAGTTCAACTAAATCTGTTTTAAGAAAAAAAAAAAGAAGCTTGCTTTTTGCAACTTCTAGGTTTTCTGGCTAAATCTGTATTAATTCCTTGAATCAAAAAGCCTTTATTTAGATCTGATTCTCAGAATGAAGCAGAAGTCAAGGTACTTACCCCTCCGCCGTTTATTCTAGTGCTTTTTGATGGATATTTAGAAGTTATCCATCACTAAGGTCTGTCTTACGCCTTCTGTGCACTTTCTGGCGCTACAGTTGGAAGTTACCTGGAAAATGTTTTCACTGGACTATTTACACTGACCAGTTACAATTTACACTTGTGCTCCACCTTGGACCCTTGGTGATGAGCAGCCTGGTACAAGGAGCTTGACTTCATCCTGGAGCCAGTCTCCCAACAGCTGCAACACTGGAGTCCCTTTACTTGATGACTGTGTTCTCCAGACATGATCTGGTGCAGTTCCAACACTACTTCAGCAGAAATAATGGATCTTCTTGGATTCTGAAGTAAATACCCAGGCCAGGGAAACATTTTTGAAACCTGAAATATGTTATCTGCTATGCTTTCTGCATGCTGGAGAACTGGAAGAGAGGCCTCTGTTGCTGATGCAGGACTGTAGCAAAGCCAAAGACAATAAATGCTCCAGGGCCATAAAGATAATCTTGCACTGCTTCAGCTTCTAGATTAGAAGGTGGACATAATTCCGGAGTGAACAGGAACCATTTGTGGTACATCAAGTCTTTACTTGAAAGTTGTGGGAGTGAAAGGCACTAGGCAAGAGAGTCTCCAAGTTACCATGGCCTCTGTGATTTACAGGGACCTGGAGAAGATGACCAGATCTGGAAGCTTCCAACTCTCCAGTCAAGAAAGTCTCTTCTGGGCTCTTCTCTGTTGTTTTAGTTCTTGGATTGTGCTCTCTGAACAGAACTACCAGGTCTTCACCCTTTTGACAAAAGGAAAGTTAGTTATGTAGACATTCCTCCTGTTGTGCCTTTGGGCTACAAAGGTGTTCTGAGTACATCTGAACAGAGCAGTGCTTCCCTGGCCTGCTCTTGTTTCCTCTGATCTTTTTAAGTGACATCATGTCACACAAAAAAGTGCTTTTTTTCCTTCTTCCATTGACCCAAACTTATGACACTCCCATGTAAACTATGCTTGCAAAGCAAGTACACAGATACAGACACAGTTTCAATCGTGAGACTTCATTAAAAATGAAGTACTGAAGCTGGATGGAATACCCAGCCACATTCCTTCCCATCTCTAGCTGTCACATGTTGAATCTCAGCTCCTGGATCAGGGTTTACAACATTGAACTTCATCTTGCACTAGCGTGGTAGCATCCTCCTAATCCTGCCTGGGTCACTGCCACATCCAGAAATTCAGAATGTCTATGGATTTTGTGTGTAGTAACACTGTTAGGATACACTTGGTGAAAAAGATGCTTTAGCTTTCCAGTCTGAGGTTGCCTGTGAATTAAATAATGCTAATGACCAATAATGTTGAATAATGACCACTGGGGCAGTTACCTCCTCTCTCCTCCTCTTGTTGAATCAGGGCGTTCAGCCTCTGGGAGCAGATCTGGACCAGACCTTTTTTTTTTCTCCTCTTGGAAATAGCAGCAAGGAAAAACGAATATGCATAACCATGTGTCTTGGTTTGAAGGACAGGTGTCTGCTGAGGAAGGCAGGAGCCTCCCTTGAAATTGAAAATGCAACCCCCTTCCCTCCAAATTATTATTATTTTGAAATTAATGGGCCTTCAGGCAAAGATGTGGGGAATAGGAATAACAATTCTTTACTACTGTATATAGATAGATAGATAGATAGATACATACATACATACATATATAGATATAAAACACAAGGCAGGAAAAAAAAAAACAGCCCACTGGTTTACACTGACAGAGTCAGGAATACAACCTGACACCCTGTTAGGGTGGCAGTAGCAGTCCAATAAGATGGTGGCTGCAGTCCTCCTGAAGCGATGGATGTAGTTCTCTTGAAGCAGCGATCTTGTAAAAGGGTCTGGTCTTCCTCCGAAGGTCCAGTGGTAGGTAGGTAGCTCTTGCTCTCTGGAACTCCAGTGGAGGGAAAACTCCTCTGGGAATCCAGTGGAAGAAGGCTGCTAGGGTGTTCGAGATCTCAGTTTTTATTTGGCATGGACTGCTTGGCTCCTTCCCCCCGGGGCGGAGCATCTCACCATGGGATGGGGAGTCGTGAGGCAGTTCCTTGATGGGCCATTAACAGGAGATAGTCCAGAGGGGGGGAGGCAGGGAGCACCGCCCCACCTGGTCTCAACAGCTCCTGAAGATGGTAATAGAATACTTTTTTTTTTTCTTTTGGCACATTTTACGCTGTAACCTAGGACACCATGGAGTCAAAGCCAAGCCTGTTCACTTGCCCTTATGGATCACTGCATCCACTGAGAGTTGAGGAAAGACGAGTATGAATAAGGCTGATGGATGTAATTGTCACCACCTTTCCTTGCGCTCTGTATGCCCAGTCTCTGCAGTCACTTTTCCACATGCATCTCTTGTTCCTCAGTGAAAAATTTCTGTGTGCTCTAATAGGCCCCTTTTAGTGGCAGAATACAAGAATCACTTTCTGGCACAGCTCCTACTAGGGTCAGATCATCCTTGTGGGCTTTGACATATCCAGGAGTGCCTGACTTCAGACGTGTAGTTGCATGTACCTGTGTCTAATTTTCCGTTGTTTCTTGAACATACATGACGGGTAGGGGTTTTGTTTTTTCCGGCTTATTTTGACAGAAGCTTGTACTTTCCTTTTACTTAAGACAAGTTTTTATAAATAATTTGATAGGAACAAAGTCCTATGTTGTCAAAGGCCATGGATAAGCGGGTAGAAATGAAGATTAATGTCAGTTTATTGCTTTCACAGCAGTAAACTGGTAAGAGCAGAGCAAGCAGCAGCTACGTATTTTGTGCAAATAGTATGTTTGAGTCTTTGACTTGGCTGTCATAATTCTTGTGAGCAATTGCAGTAGTCACTGGTGGTAGTCCTGGTTTCACCTCAGGTTTCAGCCATCTTTTCTTCCCCTGCATCTTTCTGATGCTTTGCTGGAAATGGCAAAGAAACAGAGTCCTTATGGTCAGCCAGTGGGCAGCCCTTCCAGCAAGACTTCAACCTTGCTCCTGGGCAGCCAAACACATTCTTTTGTCATTGGATAGTTGTTTCGGCAGTAGC